GCAGAAGAGAGGGAGAAAGAGAGACATTTTCGGGGTGTAAATTAACAAAAATTAGTTTAGGAATTCACGCAAGATCCATTCTCGGGGGTAAATTTTGTTCAAATGGTTCACCACCACAATTGGCTTTGTAATTTTACGACGTGCACTCGTGGCGTTCTTGGGGGTGAGAAAGAGTAGTGAGGAAGGGAAATGGAATTTAGGTGAAAGACTTGCTGGAATTGATGTGTTTTTTGCCTCAAACGTGACTCTTGCGCCAATTGGAACATTTCCCATGGAAATTCATTGTTGGAAAGTCTATCGCACGATTTTCCCAATTAACTAAGGATTAACATTAGAGGATTTAGAGACTGAAAGAGAGAGAAATGTAGATTGTGTTTTCGCAAAATGTGTGTAGCGTTTGTGAGAAATGAAGTAAACTATGAGGGTTTTATGATATTTCAGACATATTTCACCATTTTCCCTGAAACAGTGTGTCAATGAGAAAATTAGAATTCAATACACATACCTTCTTAAATAGTATCTTGACCTCTGCGGTGCGATCGTAAATTAGCTTATATGTGATACACACTCTGATTTATAAAAAAATATATATATTTGCTATTTTCACTAAAACGCGATACATCTTAAATTTGACATTCTCGGGAAAATTTACGAGATGGCATATGAAATGTAAGAGATATTTGGTTTAAATTCTCAAATTTTATTACTTGAAAAACATGAATGTGTATTTGCAATGAAAATTGTCGGTAATTTAAAACATGGGAATTATTTATTATGAATTTTATTGCTATTGAGGTAGAATGTCTGAGATTCTTTCCTATGCTTTGGGGCGAATGTAAAATAGTTATTGTTATGATATTATTTGAAACATGGGTGTTTTGTATTGTGTAATTAAATTTGCGTAAATTGCTAAAATTATTATGTTTCATGATGGCTTTGCCGCTCCTATTTTTAACGATTTTCATATTTGTGTGTGGATTTTTTGTGTGTGCATAGGAAAAACACGGAATATTTTAACACAAGAAGTCATTAGTGTGATTTTCCGAAGGATATTTTTGATATTTGGTGTGACCAAGTTATTGGTTGTGCGCTGTGGAAAGGGAAAAAGACAATCTTCAGGGACACAGAGGCATAGCAAAAGAATATGTAAACATGCGAAGAAAGAGTTGAGGAGGAGTGAATTATTTTTGAGCACTGCTTTTTGGGGTGGGAGAAAAGCGCATGAGAGGAGAGAGAAAAAAAATGAGGAAATTGCTCAAGAGTCCTAATTTTCCATATTGTTGAGTCTTTTGGCACTGAAAATGTCACGAAATGTATGATGCAACAACTGCAGAAAACGCCGCTTCTCGATGGGCGACGGGGTGGCTTTGACCATGAAAATGCCAGAGTTAAACAGACTTGTCACAATATTATCTGCATCAATCACTGAGTGAACTTTCTCGGTACACAAATACAATTTATTGTTTGTTTGTACAGAAAATTTTTCCACAAAGTTCATTCTCTCTTTGATATATTCTTCTTCGCATGAGAAGTGGAAATTGTTTTGTGAGGGATGATGATTCGAGTGTCTGGTAATGTTGGCAAGCATACACGAGACGTGTCGTAAAATGGTGTCGAATATGCTCCGTTGCAAAATTCTGAAGATACATTTTTCGACAAGGATTCAATGAATCTTGAGTATTGAAGCTGATATTGAAGCTTTTTTCCAGTCTATGAATTATATTTAAGAATTTTATTGATTTTTGTTACTTGCATTTTTGAATATATTTATTTAATGAGAATTAATAAATCCAGAACCTTAAGATTTACTGTGAGTTTCAATAGCTTCAAAATTCATTCTTTAAAGACGGATTTTCAAAGTTCTGTTGATTAAACTTGTTCATAGTATCATAAGAACGTACTGAAAAACATTTTACGACGCGTACTTTCATAACATCGATGTCTAGTGGATGATGAACTGGAAAGGGAAATGAGAGTCTTTTGAATATGTTGGAAATTCATTCGTTTCCCTCTTCTTTTTTCTGCATGGGTTTTAAGAGGAGGAAAGAGAGTACAAAAGCTTTCCATGGTTATCTGACTTGGGGAAAGAGGATGAAAGAGAAGTAAGAAGAGAAATTCCCCATTGACTCTATGGTAGTTTTTCCCCAATGACAATTTTCAAAGTGGAAAATCAATGGTTCTATTGATTACCCAATGCCCATTTCAGTTGAGGGTGAGAGAAAAGGTTTTATTTGCTCATTGAGAGCTTTCTGGGATGGAGAAGCTTTTTTCTACCTGTGTGAGTTGCTCGTTATCGAACAATTGCTGTGTCTTTTATCCTTTTACCAATAATGGTTGCCACTTTTTTTCTGTCTAAAGTATACTTTGAGATTTATTCGATTTTAAGGTGAGAGAACCTTCTTATCGACCTTGCCTAATCAATTTTCCCTTTTGCCTCTGCCATTTGCGGAAAAAAACACGAAGCTTAGCTGATAAAAACATGAGCAATTGATAGTGCTTCACTGCGATAAAGATATGATATTGACTCCCTGACTCGAGCGCGTTGACTTTGACATCAGCTTGAGTGTGTTCAGTGTCTGGTGAAAAGTTTCGCCATTCTTGTCGGTATGAATTTGAGGTGAAGACTGTGGAGAGGAAAATTCCAGATATTCCGAAAAGTTTTCACGAGAGAGCAAAATATGCTGTGTGAGATGGAAGAAACTGTGCTTGGTGAGACATAAAGTGTGGCGCGCTGAGACGATGATGATAAATATGCAAATGATTTCGTGTAGATGTGTCACCTACACGGCGAGCTAAATATAGTGAAATGATTCAAAAAGGGCAATTAAATTTGCAGGTTATTTTTTTTCTGCAGCCAATTGAAATGCCTTCGGTGAGGATTCACTGATGCGAAATTGCACACTAAAAGCTGGGTGAAACATGCAAATGGCATGACAATAGAGCCAAAAATTGCATATATGACTTATTTTTGCCAAATATACATATTGAGTCGGAGTTTTTTTCGTGACAAATTGCATGTGAACTTTCATAAATGTACATAAGATGAGATTTCTGCTCAAAATGTGCTTCACTCATTCTCAATTGGTTGTTGTATATTGCATAAAACGGAAAGTATAACGCCTAAGTCTGATTGCTCTATTTCTCTCGGTATTTTTAGAATCTATAAACATCTTCTTCTTTCTCATTTTCACTCTCTTGCACACAAGTCTCTCTTGCTCGCCACTATGGCGATATATTGTAGCTTTTGTATTATCGCATTGAAAATTTTGTTGTGTAAAGTTCTTCGCGTTTTTTTGCTGTTGCTCTCACATTCAGCGAAACTGTGAGTTTGATGATGGATTTTCCTCAGCATTCTTCGCAATCTTCTCATCTGCCGTTTGGCAGGATTGACGATTGAAATGCATCGTACGTGCAATGGTGCATGATCTTGATGTAATTTACTGATAGACTCTCTCTCTCTCTCTCTCTCTCATCTCTCCTACACACTCAATTCGCGAATATTGAAATTTTGTTGCAAAAGTCTTCATTAGTGAGATTGAGATAGTGTCAACACGTCGCACAATAGACTGCAGAAGTTGTGCTCACGATAATGAGTGAGTTTTACTGCAGGAGATTCTTCTCAAAATATTGTTTGACTGACAAAATATTGCATGACTTGACATGTCTAAAAATATGCTGCTTAATTTATGATTGGCGTGTGATAATGCTTGTAATTTACCTCTGAATGCATGTTAAATCAAGATCATGAACATGACTTGGGCGTGATTTATTTCAAATTCGACAAATTGATTTGGATTTCACGGGAAAAATGCTGGCAAAGACACAAACATTTAATATGTTCTTATCACTTATCTAATCTAAAATTGTACTAATGTTGTGATAGTGATTAATGCAGTGACTTCATCATGTCGCAAAACACTGATAGGGACACAAAATAAAGCCAGAGTTTTGTGTTATTATTATTTCAATTTTCATTCTATGAATTTGCTTAATACTTTTAATGATTTATTGTCCAAATTTCATCCATTCCATTTGACACATTTGAAGATTTTTCTACAAAGTGCGTTACAATAAAATCAGTCAAATTTAACAAGTAATAAAAGTGGCTAATATTAGCCATTTAACACAGAATTACTTGATGGTTGATCTAAAAAGAGTGTGTAATATCAATGAAAATAACTATTTCCTTGGGTGAATTTGCCCAAATTGCCACTAAGGAAGTTTTCCTCTTGGGTCTCGTCAGGAATTTCCCCAAGCGCCACACACATAATGTCGGTGAGGCAAATTGAGGAGGAGGTGGTGGGAAAAGTGGTGTGGAAAAATATAAAAGTATATTAGGAAGAAGACACTGAAAGTGAGCCTCTGCGCTATAAATTGTAGGTGGGAAGTTTTGTTGGATGGTGATAGAAAAAAGCTGTGCTTTTTCTGCCTCATCCAATGTTATGTTGTCGTGTATAGTTTTCACATGCTATATATTTTTTCCATGTGTATGTGCGTGAATAAGAGGAAAACATGCAGAAAGTCTGGGCGCTCGTGAGAGATGTTGACGCGAGAAAGGTGGAGGAGTTGAGGATCTTTTTTGCTGCCGCTGTTGTGCTATACACAGTGTGTATTCAGCGGTGTGTGAAAAAGAGAGAAAAATGATGAAGAAGGAAGAGGAGATGAGAAACTTGGCAGAGATTTGAATTGGTGGAAAACCTATTTTCATGCTGTATGCTAGTGGGTAAAAATATTGTTTACCAATCGTGTGGAATTTTGTTTTGCCCCCAAAAAGATAAAATTGCTCTGCAACACAACGCACGCACATTTTGGGCTTGTGAACTCTTGCGGAGTGTTTTGCCATTGCCGCGCGCGCTGATGGATTGTAATGGAGTGCGCGCTTTTGGGTGGGTTTTTCTCAGGGAAAGCGATGAGAGGAAATTTGTCCATGTCTTGCAGATGTTATGAGTCAAGATGATGACGTCATGGCTAATGAAAATTCATGTTGTGTGTCTTTGCAGAGTTTTCGGATAGCGTGGATGGACCTGTATCGTGGCGTTTGACGCTCGATCAGGATCTTATTGACACGCTGCAACGAAGTTTTCCAAATTGGTTCAATTCCACGGCCATTTGTGAGTCGGACTCGGAGAATATTTCCACGAATTACCACTTTTCTGAGCAATTGCTGACATCCATTGACAGAATGGCTGAAGGTAAAGGAGAAAAAACAGCTCTTTTGCATATGCAAAGTGGAATTTTCCCCACTGATGCTCTTCATTTTGTGTGTTTGTTGTCCTTTCAGGCGAACGTTCAGCAAATACATCAGCATCAACGGACAATACGAGTTCATCACTAACAAGTGGTTTAAATACAAGACACTCACCGCCCAAAGCTGTTGTCGATTCCAGTCCGTTGCAGCCAGCGATGGATAAGAACAAAGAATGTGAGTACTGTGCTCATGACAATCATTCACATCCGCCGCTTGAATATAAGCTTTCAATGCGGATTTTCTCTCTCTGTCTCTCTCTCGGTGGTGATGATTTTCTTAAGGGCGAAAATGTGTGACAATGAGAAAGGAAATAAGTTTTACAACGCGGAACGCGCTTCTCTGCCTCTGGACACACACACAGTGGAAGAAAATTAATTTAAAATTCTTCTCTTGCTGGATGAGAAGAAATTCTCGTTGATTTTCCTCTTCTCTGGGGGCGTCTGAGAAATTGCTAAGTGATTAAATTTTCTCTCTTCAGTGAAATGATGGTGCAAAATTGTATTGTCACTGATAGGAAGTGAGATGCAGATGCAAAAGCCTAAAGGATGGAGAGATTGAATGAGAAATGTAATCTCCAGATGATGATGAAGTATTATTTCGCTATTTCTGCTGCTTGTAATAAAATGAGAGATCATTTGACACAGAAACTGCATAAGAGATTTCTCAGTTTAGTCGCTGAGGAAGATGCACAATACTCGTGAAGAGATTTGCTTACACACTTTTAGGTGGGCAATCAAGGCGGGATTGGGAAACACTCAATATTTATCTTCCGCATTGTTCTTCAAATATAAACATCAATGTGATACTGTGAGGAAGAGTAAGAGAGAGAGAGAGAGACAAAAGTGCAATTCTGCACTCTCAAAGTGTTTATTTAACTTTGGGTTTAACTCGAATTTGAGAAGTTAAGATTCTATTTGTCAGTTTGTGGCTTCTTATTTAATTTGCCATCGATGTCCTCTGACTTTGTGTGTTTCACAGTGGCAAAGGATGACCCGAGAGTGGATTAAGGACGACATATGAGGTCTATTGATTTTCCCCCAAAATACCATGCAGATTTTGGTTGTATATGGCTAAAAGCCCTGTCTTGGAATAATCAATGGAAGGAGGGAGCACACAAAAAGTCAATTCTCAGAATGGCTAAAGCCATCATTTGCCTCAGCTGGGGAAATCCATTGATATAAGATTGGAAAATCGACTCCATGGCAAATAAGTAAGATTATCGGGTGGATTTTGTGGGATACATTGACTTGGGCGGTGGGAAAAGTCTCGTTGTGGTGTGAGAAAGAGAGAGAGAGAGAGGAAAATCTTTGGCAAAAGTTTCGTTTAACAAAGAATGAAGGAAACATGAACAACTTCTCAAGTTCACTATTCTCCTTTACCCGATTCTGCGTCAAACTCGGCAGATTATGCAAATTTTTATGTTGCGATGTTTGAATGTGGGTTCAAATGGTATTGAGAGTGTTATTTTGCTTTTTGGGCGAACAAAGTGATAATTGGCTGTTGACGAGTTTGAATTCAATATCCACTTTTAAGTGTTGGTAATGAAGAAAATTGAATGATATTTCGTGGAGCGAAAATTAGGCGATTTCTAAAAAATTCATGTTACTTAACATTCCTCGTCTTTTGCAGCTCTGAAAGTGAAGCTAATGATGCGAAGACCCATCACTCAGCTGGTGGAACAAGGGATTCTTCCACGTAAGTATCAAATATTAATGATGGCAAAGAGAAGGAAATAATCCAAGGGTTGCGTTCGCAAGCGAAAAGGAGACTTTTGTGGAGAGGATGAGGCGTGTAATGTGAGCCATTTCTGATCCTTTCAGCCTTGAAAACATCACCGGCAATTCATGAGCAACGAAAGCAACTTCAGCGGGCGAAAACGGGAGATTTGCTGAAGGCGAAGATCCAGCAAAGGCCTGATCGACAGGAGCTGGAGCGTCGTCACATTCTGGAGCACGATGAGAGTCATGTGGATCCGAGTCTGGCGGAGAAGCAGCGAATGCTGAAGAAGGCTCGACTGGCGGATCAGTTGAATTCGCAGATATCACACCGTCCGGGACCATTGGAGTTGATCAAGAAGAACATCCTGCACACGGAGGAGCCCATCGAGAGGATCGTGAAGGAGGGTTTGGTGACATTCAAGGCGACCAGCGAGGGTTTGCTGAGTCGCCCACAACAGCCCCACAGCTACATCACATTCGAGGAGGATAGTCAGAGCTCTGAGGGCGATCAGCGCTCGAGTCCGGCGCGGGGCTCCTCGGCTGGAAGTGATGTGATTGAGACGGCGGCAGCGTCGGCGGGAATTGTCACGGTGGCGCTCACGATTCCCACCACGGGTGGAGCGGTGATGGTGACATCTGCCACGCCAGTGCTTCAGAGCAAATTCCACTCGCTCCTCGCACCATACGTGTCTTCGGCTCCGCCACCGCCGCCGCCCCTGCCAATCAAGAGTGAGACAATCCAGATCAACTCAGAGACACCGCAGAGATTTGCGGAGTTGTGCCAATCCGTGGTGGGATATGTCACGACGAATTCCACTTTGATTCCAATCGCTCCGGCGCCCAGTCCGTCATCACTGGCCTCCACAAGTTCCAGCCTCAGTCCTATATCGTCTGTGCCTTCGCCGCAGCAGCCCGTCAGACCGCCCATTGTGGCCGTGACGCCGAAGTCCGATGCTCCGGGCAAGGATAAGTACCGGAAGAAGAGCAAGAGCAAACCAGTGGTGAAGGCGAGACCCATTAAATTCCACGAATACAAGGGTCCACCGAATGCACAGAAAGTCAGTTCCCTGGTCAGCAGTGCGCAGACGGAAGAGACGTCTTATCAGTTGCTGCTGAAGCAGCAGAATTGTCTGCTTGAGTATCTCGAAGGACTGAACAAGACATCGACTCAGTTCATCCAGCAAATGCCCATAAAGTGTGAGTCCTCGTCGAATAGTGTGATCTCTCAGCCGATTCCTTCGCCCGCTCACTCTGTGGCCTCGTCCACGACCGAGAGCTGTGCCGGCAACTTCCCGGAGATTTCCAGCACGGCGGCGGAAATTGCCAAGCTGGAGAAGATGAAGGTGTACGACCTGAAGCTGCAGCTGAAGAAGCGGAATCTGCCAGTGTCTGGACCCAAGCCGCAGCTCATTGAGCGCCTGAAGCCTTATCTGCCGCTGGAGCCCGTGTCAATTGCACAGGGAGATTCTGTGGTGAGCAGCGAGACGACAGATCTCGATGTGGTGAGTTCGATGTCGCCGGAATCTGACGAACCGGAGAACATGGATGTGCAGTCGTACGAGATGACGATGGAGGAGATGTCGCCGGTGGTGATGAATGAGGAGTTAGTGAAAGAGCAGCAGAGGAAGATTGACGAACTGCAGCGGAAGTTGAAGGAGAGTCAGGATGAGTTGCTGCAGATGAAGCAGTGTCAACCGCCAGTGAATGAGCCGCCAGCTTTGACGCAGAAAATGATTGTGAAGCAGCAACTCGAGGCGAAGATACAGAAGGAGAAGCTGCAGCAGCTGGAGAATCTGAAGAGGCAGCAGAAGCTAGTGGAGGTGAAGACGGAGCCGCAGCAGCAGCAACAGCCTCATGTGCAAATCACAGATGCGCAGTTGCAGCAGATTCAGGGCGCTGGTGGGAAGGGCAATGTGGAGATCGTGTGGAACGGTGAGCCGACACTCCTGCTGGTGAATCTGAGGGACAAGAAGGAGAACATCAGCCAACAGACATCCATTCCAAGAATACTGGTGCCCATTGCCGCGGCCAAGGCGGCCGATGTGAAGCCGCAGGAGATTCAAGTGGTGGGCGTGAAGTCTGAACCGCTGCACTTCGATGAGATGTCAGCGGGTCAGGCGGAAGCACTGAAGTTCATCACGACGCAGGCCAATGCGGCGGCCACGAGTACCACGACCACGAAGGCGAATGGGAAGATTCCACACAGGAATTCACAATTGATCACAGATGTGCTGGAGATCTTGATAAGGAATGGCGAACTTCCTGAGTCAGCAGCACAGATTCCTGTCACGCCAACGACGCCGGGAACAACGGCTGCCGGAGCGCCTCTGATGGATGGCATTGTGTTCACGAAGTCACGCATGCAGGCGCCGCCGGAAGCTGCACAGTTTGCGAGTGGTCAGGAGAATGGAGATGGTGTGGAGAATATGGATCTCTTGTCACCGCTGCATCCGGATCCGGCGATTGATGCTGACAATGCGGTGAACACACTCAATATGTTCCTGGAACAGTCTTCGGCGGGCCTGGAGAGCAGCGGAAAGGATTGCGATGCCGTGGATCTCAATCACTTTGACGATCTTGCATTTATGGAGCTCATGAGTCATCAGATGGACATGGATATTACGGAGGACAGTCCAACAGAGCCGCCACAGGCGCCGCCGCCGCCCTACAGCAGAGCCAGGCGCGAGATGAATCCCAGTCTTCAGCCGTCACTGTCGGAGCTGATCCAGCAACAGTCGGCGAGTGGCTTCTTCAATGGGGCGCAAGTGACAGCGTCGAGTGGAAACAATAATCTGCACACAACGCCGCTGAGTAATAACAATTTGGTGAATGAAATCCAGATGGAGATGGACGAATTCTCCAATTCACTCCCACCATTTGACTTTCCCGCTCTCGGTGGGGCGCTGAGCCACGATGTGGACAACCCCACGCCGCACTTCACCTTTGCCACCACTGCTGATGACGCGCCGCCGACCACGAGTGTGGTAACGTCGCACTGTGGTGCTGAACAGAATCTCTATGATGCCACCCACGTGGCCATGCAGCAGGACAATCTACTGGATCTGCTCAGCTTCGATGACCTCAGGATGTCCGGGGAGTCGATGCCGTGGAGCGAAGTGGACTTTGCCGTGTGAGAGGACAAACACACCACACAACAAGTGATGAGAATCTTCCGGGAGGACACAATCGCAGTAACTATGAATCATTTTCTAATACTTGTTATAAACACACACACAAAATATTATATTTAATCCACTATTTAAGAGCGCAACAATGCGGTGAATATTTCAGAAATATTCACACCGCCGAAACACTCAACTAACGTGTGAAATTGTACGCCCAGAGAGAGAGCTGAGAAGCGTTTATTTAATAGGAGAGCTTAACATTGATTTAAGACGATTCACTTCAGCATAATCCATCATGACCAATAAATATGTAGGAGAGTGAGTGGGTGGAAGTGTGCATGCAATTCTAATCACACTTTAACAACAATGGCCCCAATTCTGGCAGCGTTGATAGAGAGCAAGATATCAGGGTGTCAAATAATTGTAAAATCAAGATTATGGCATTCTCGAAGAGTTGAAATCATGATATCTTGATGGCAGAATTGAGGCTAATATCTCTTATAAAGTCTCTAGAATGCATATGCGAGGAGGGAAAGAGGAGAAGTTCTAAGTGAATATCCAGGCGTAGAGTTCGAAATAAGATTAAATACTTGACAAGAGATCATTCAGGATGTGTAAAATCCTTAGAAATAGGAATAAATTTCTCCTTGAGAAATCACTTATAATAAACACTTATAGATTTGATGAAAAGGAAAGCATGAGAAAATATTCTAGTTAAATTTTTAACAATTAATTCCAGTGATTTTTTTATTGAATAATAATTATAAAGAAGTAACTTAAATATACAGTGCAAGAGAGAAACAGAAAGAGAGAGAGAGAGATGTGAAACAACAGATGAAATAATAACAAAATATTCGAGAAAGAACCATTAATAAATTGAAGTGCCTGCAATGTCATTGTGCATCGTCAATGAGATTAGAGAAAATTTTACTTAACGTGTGTTTCACAGGAAAATACAATTAAAAAAAAACAAGGGGATTTTACAGAAATTCACTTCGATAAGGCTTTTTATCAAGTGTGCGATTGTAAAGTTTCCTTGCTGAGAATTCACAGGAGAGAATTTTTTTAAGCGAAGTAACATCATTAAGTAAAAATATTGATAGTAATGCATGAATGATTGTCCGATAATTGTAGACTTGTAATGTCATAGGATAACTCGTGTGTGAGAAGATGAACTAAAGGAGAGGCACAGAAGGAGAGATGATGGCAATCGAGAGAAGACGTGGAGAAGACACAAGAAGGAGAGAAAAATTCAATGTTGGGAATATATCGAAAATGCGAAAATGTTGCTCTGCGATGCTTCTTGTTTTACGTTTTCTCGCTCATCCTTTAATTTTATTTTCTCCCCGTTTAAGATTAATGGTAATACCATCCTATTCTCACGTGAATGGAAGACAGAGGTGAAGAGGAAGAGCTGAAAAATCTAATTAATTTTATTTTTACGCTCTGCACAGTGTAGTCGTTTTTTCTGCTGACCATTAGTACTCTGAAGTCATGGGAGAGAGAGAAGTGAGATAGGAGAGGAACTCCTCTAAAAGCAACCAAAATTCATTACATGAGTCAAAACAACTCTGCAATATGTGTAGGATTTTTTGGGCGGTTTTGCTAGATTCCACTGTGTTCGTTTTTTGCTCATTTATCCGTGGCTGAAATGCGTTGGTGATCACGTTTACTTCACTCTCATCGCGTCTCTTGCCAATTCCCGTGTGCGGCTTTTTAATCTCACTGCAGGAAATCGGCGGGCTTTGCATGCGAGAGTGAACAATCCTTGACGAATTTGAGTTACGACATGGTGAAAATGTGGAAACTCAATATTTCCAATGACCACCTGGACATGCCAATGTCGCTCAGGTGTTTTCCATTCTGATCATCGTGCGATGATCACACTTGCCAGCCCACGCTCTCGCGGGCCGTGAACGTTAATTGTGGAGTTGAAAAATATGATTTCTGGGTGTAAACAAATCGCGTGAGAATAGCAAGTTGGAATTGTATTTGTTCAGTTTGTTATTTGGTTTTGGTGTTTCAAATAATTAAATTTTGCAGATATTTCAAACACTATGTGTGATGTAACACGATGAAGAAATAGAGCCACAATGTATTCTCTGGGTTTTATTGCCAATTTGAGATGTTGCTTACAGTGATCTTCAATAGATTATGTGGAGATACTCAAAGTCTGTTGCTCGCAGTGTCAATTTGTAGAGAATACAGATGAAGAGAATTTGATTGAAACTCGATTAGCTCTTGCAGGAGAAGAAGGTTTCGCATTTTGCATCAATATTTCATCTGCAAGAATATATAAATTAACTAATAGATGAAATTAGTAGATGGTTTTTCTCGCCTAAATTTAATTCCATCTACTTTGCAAGTCCTTTAAACGCTTGTCCGAACTTTAATGGTCTTTTGTAGTGATTTAACCATTCCCTTTTGCCTGACACATTCTTCCATTTGTATGGCAAATGATTAAAATCTCACTGGTATTCTTTCACAGTTGATAAATGATGAGAGTTGAGAAATGAAATCCAGAAATTGTATTACCTATTCATCCCCGAAGAATTTCTCACATGAATACTAACAATTCCACCCTCACTTTTGCTCTGTCATGACTTGGTGTGAATTGTGAATGGGCGGAGAATAGGAACAATTATGAGAATAATTGTGCAATAATTGCTAACATAGCTAATTCAATTTAGAGAACGTGAATCGCGTGAGATTTTTCCACAACGGTCTTTTCTCTCTCACTTCTTGATCTCCTGAGCTTTGCTCCGTGCCGGAAAGCCTGTGCGGATGGTCTGGGCAGGAGGTGTATAATGGCACAATGAGTGTGAGGGGTGGATATTCGCGGGGGTGGAGTGTCTCCACGGAGGAATCCCCAAAATTAATGAATATGAAGTAATATAAAATGGCTCTTTTGGAAAACCGGCAAGAGAAGTGATTAAATTCTTGTATAGAAATTGGTATGGAAGATGAGAAAGAGAAGAGGCATTCAGCGAGTGGTGAGGAATAATTTATGCATTTAAGATGGGGATAATGTGGCGAGAGTGATAAAAATAATAAAGCAAATCCCGTTCGGTGTGAATTTGCCGAGGACAGGATGGGAGAGCACAAAAAGTGGCTCAGGGACATTTGTCAACTGGCGGATGTGTCCTCGAGAGGTGGGCGGGGGTGGAAAAGGGCTGAAATGTGTGAATGTGTGTGTGTGTGTGAAGATTTACAAGTTAATATGTACAGAAGAAATGAGACAAGACAAAGTCGCACAAAATGCTTCCATAAATAAAAAATGATTAAAGTTAATGCAAAACGGAAAAATATAGCAAACATTTTCCCTTCCCTTCGGCCTGGCGTGTGTCGCCGTGCGTGTAATTTTATACTCCTTTCGCCTCTCGTTCGCCCCCCGTTATTGAGGGGGCGGCGCCCGAGGCGGGGAGGCGAGAGGGGTGCACAGAAACTTACACGTTGACAAAGTGGAGGGAAAAATGTTGAGCTTTCCATGCTGAACCCCCAAAATATTGCCACTGGGGTTGAGTTCAATGTGAGTGAATTGAGAGCGAAGGGGGGTGCGTGAGGGGGTGCATGAGGGGACAAAAAGCTGTGCGTGTGGCTGGAGAGGGATGAAAATAATAACTACAAGTTCGATGATAATATAAAGAGAAGAAAGGAAAAAAAACTACGATATAGAGTCTAATAAATTACGTTACATAATAATAATAAATTTACTGAGAGTAAAAAGTAAGAGTGAGAGGAGAAAAGTAATAAAGTGTAATGATTAGTAATTGATACAGATCACATTTTATTTCTGTTTTTTTCCCCCTGTATACTGCTTTATTTGTATGGAAAACATGACCCTTTGTCATTTTCTGTTTACCTCTGTAATAATTCTGTTACTCAGAAGAGAAGAAGAGAAACCTCTGAATGGTTCGTGGCAAAGATGCAGAGCATGGAAAACTATTAATTTGTCTTTCATAGAAGAAGAAAATTTTCTCTAAGCATAAGAAAATTGAGAAAATTATTTGTGTATCAGGTGCTGTTCCAAGATTTTCATTGAAAATTTTCAATTACTTAGCGTTTTAGTCTCTTATTGAATATAGTTATACTGTGTAAGAATGCTATTAAACTTAATGATGAGAATGAGTATAATTGCAAAATATACAAGAAACATTTTGAGCAAAACATAAACCACGAGTGATCTTTTATCTTTCCGCGGAAAGTGTTTGATTCTCCACAGCGCAACAAGTTCTACGTTGTTGTTGTTTTTGGCTACACTGAACGCAATGTTGGGGAAGTATTGAATGGTATGTATTTTCAGGTCTTTAGTGATAGAATCAATGTGAAGAAATGAACTTTTGACAATGTGAATTAATAATTATATCATGTTATGCAAAATATTGCAGTGAAAAGTGGAATTACTGGAGTTTTTGTATTTAAAAATTCAGGCAAAATCATTAGTTATGAATCTTCTGTGGTAAGTATGACGAATTAAAGAATTCTCAATATACCATTCCACAAAAATTATTACTACGTGACGTTTTAAATACTTTAGAATGATTTTCTCAAGTTGCTAAAGTTGCTGCCAGTGAAAAATTTCCTGTAAACCATTTAAAATATTCTAAATTTTCCAGGGAAGTTTGAGTGTCAGAGAAGTCAAGTTAACCCTCATGTTTGCAAGCCACAGAAGGAATTTTAGCCAATTTTGAGGGGACTTTTGATGTGTCTTTTGATGTAAAGTTTTCCTCGTGGCAGAAATCAAATGTCTTCGACTCTTCGCTCTAATCATAATCTCCCCTTTGACCCAGATGCTGTCGGCGAGTTGGGTCTATTTTTGCGATTCTACGTATTATCCTTTATATATAACACACTTTCCGCCAGTCAGACTCTCGCCTGATTTACTCTTGTGTGCGCCTTTCCGTGGGCCGAGGCGCTCTCCTGCGTCCTCGCCACCCACGACAGAAGCGATACACTTCCGGAACAAATAATCCGCGTGTTTGTCGTCAGAACGGGAGTCCGGGGAGCGATGAAAGACAGTGCGAGTGGGTGGGCGCGCTTTAATGCCGGGGGCGAGTCTCGGGGAGTGTAAATCGACGGCACACGGAAAAGTACACACATTTGCAGGGAAATGGACAAGCTCTGGGGCTCTGGGCGGCCTCGGGGGTGGCAATTTGAGACTTGGACGCGATTTCGTGGCATTTCGTCAATGGGGAAGCCCAGAGAGCGCCTCATGTGGAGACGAGGCTGCTGAATAAGTAATTGAGATGCGGAATGGGGGAAATAAATGCGACATGGGGCAAATCTTGAGCGAAATTGATTAATAAATTATATGTGAGTGAGAAATAGGCAAGCAATCAAAAGCAAATAAAGTCAAGGGGTGGTTCGGCAGGCGGCCGAGTGACAAATGTCCAGGATGTGTGGATGGAAGGAAAAAAGCACGTGGAAGGGCGCAATGAGCATGAATTATTCACAATTTCAACTGCGGGTACAATTTTAATGACTCGCCCATCGATCAGGAGGGTTGGCGCGAGTAATATTTTCGGGGGGTTGCGCAAACATGTAAATCTATCTTGGGTGGGAAATATTTTTGGATTCCGTGTGTTTTGATTCTTTTCCCCAGCGAGCGTTCAACCACTCTTTGCTCTCATTACAGTCTTTTTGCCGCGCTGTGTCTCGAAATACCACACAGCGCACAACCCTTATACTTTTTTTCTCTGAATTATTTTCATGTGACTCCTTTCTAAAATTATATACACAGGCGAAAAGCCTCAAAGGTGAAATTTCTCCGGAAAAACTTCTTTTCACCCGGCGCACATTTTTGGGGAAATATTTTCCAATTTTCAGACTCTCAAAATAACTCCGCGCGAGAGCTTCTTAAAATATTTTTTTTCCTCTCATCCAGCAATTCCAACTCTCAAACATATTTCACAGCAAATGGCAATCACTGGCAATTTCCTTCTCTTCTAAATATTTCGTCCCTTTTTTTCCCCCAAAACCCACCCATATACAAAATTCCTCAATTACGCATTTCTGCCTCTTTTAATTATTTTCCACGGAACCTGATCGGGATTCTTCCGGCGCACGGAGAGAGATTTTCTCCCCGTCTCACTCGCACACGGGAAAGCCGAGATGGATATCATCTTCTCCGGTCGCGCGAGCCCCCATCAAAAGTATCCCCTCTCGGCAGATTGTCAATTTTATGAAAATTTTTGCCCAACATGGATTTAATTTCATGTGCAAATCAGCCAAAAATTCCTGGCCTGGCAATTAAATGGGCAGCCAAAAAGTGTGGGGAAAGCGTCAATTTGAATGCCTCGATTTTTTCCAGGGAAATCAATCTCCGTCCGCCAGAAAGTGCGGAGCCCATTCAGGGTTTCTGGACTGGGAAGAAGAGGGGGTGGTGGTCAGGCGATGGGTGGAAGGGAAAAATGTCCCTCGGGCCATTTTACCGTTTGTCTTTCTGTCTAAACCTTTTTAAATGGGCTCTTCCACAGGGGATCAGCATTGCGATGAAGGATGGCAAATGCTGCAAAACAGACAGATGCTTTTTATTACGAGTGACAACGCCAGAAGACAGTTCACGACAGTGTCGTGAAGGAGGTGAAAATCGCATTAGCATTCAAGTGTTGCTAAACGATCTATCTTCATGATCTACTCTCATCGTTTTGCTTTCATTTTCTAGGCTTTAGCATTCAGGTAAACTAGCCTTTGTGAACTAGATTTTCAGTTAATTCCCTCTTGCTTGCCTTATTATTTCCTTTCTGTAGAAGTTTAAATGCTGAACGGAAAAATCGCTGTATGAGTTTATGTTCACTTCTGTGTGTAGCACCGCTCTTATTCACCCTTTTAAATCTATTATTTTACCTAGAAATGCTTGCATTGCAAAGATTTTACCCTTTTGTACAAAATTTTACTGTGAATTTACCAGAAAGTGGATTGAAGGCCGAAAGCAACTTGAAATATTAATAAATTTCCTTGAATTCTGGCCATCACTTTAAAGAACGACGGCTTTAACTTGTGCCGAAACCCAATACGCTGCAGCCCCAGTGGCTTTCAGGCCTCTCAATTTCCCGCACGGCCCTGAACTGCCCCACCCCTGGCCAGGCTGCCCTTGAGCTCCTGCGGGCGCAGGGGGCCGACCTGGAGGAGTGCGACCGGGCGACTCGGGAGAAATCTCTGCCGCGCGACAGAGATCAATTCATAATTCACCGTGCCTGTCCGGGGGGCGCCCACCCACGGGGCCCGCCGAGCTCGCGACCCCGGGGTGGCCACAAGTGGGTGGCCGAGGACGTCGCTCGGTAGCGCCTGTTGCCCTGTCGGGGGTGGGCTGGCTGCGGCGCGTGCGCGGCGGAGCGCAAAAGCTCTCCCTCTCGCCGTGTGCCTGAGCATACTTTTCCCAGGGTAAAGACACCGAAGAGCACCCAGTTGATGACGAGAGCTTTGGGGCATCGTGTGTGTGTGGCGGCAACAGCTAGAGGGAAAGTTTTCTTAGACTCACCATGTCCATTGTGTGGCTCAGCCTCGCGACACACGCGGGTCACGCACACGCCCGACCGTGAGCCGCGGGCCTCTAGCATCTGCCATCGCGTGAGCGCGTGTTGGCGACGAGTAGCAGAAAAAACCCCAGCCGAGTGGCGTTGCAACAAAGAAGGGAGAGAAAAGTCCTCCAGCCCTTAGAATATTAATAGAAGTTGTGCTTTTTTCGGGGGAGGACACGCCAAAATTGGACGCAATGAGCCTCAGTGCGGAGTGTTAACATCGTGGGAGCCCCCAGAAAGAGGCGCTGCAGCGGCGAGGATCGCGCACACACACACGCAGATCGCGAACCCCAAAGTCAATGCAATCATTTTAAGCGTAGTGTTAGGAAATTGTCTCACTGGTCCCGGAAAATCCTTGAGCCGAGGGACCCGCGAGGAGGGGGAGTTTATCAATATTTCAAAACCTGAATCAACCAAAAAGTCTAATTCACAATCATCTACACCTGGGGATGGGTAGCGAGTGTTAGAAATCCATAAGTAGTGAATAATTACTGAGTGTTTTCTAGTTGTTTTAACGTGTCCATTACCTGGAAGTGGAAAAAAGTGGTGCTCACTTTGTAGACATTTTTATCAGCAAAAAGAACACATCTATCGAGTGATTTGGAGTGGAAGGGAGCTCGCTGGGAGCTCACAGCCAGAAGATAAAACACAGAGGTGAAAAGCAAGTTCAACATATTGAAGAAAAATCACCTATTGGTTTGGGGTGGTTTTGGTGGCGCTGACGATGGCCGTGGCATGAATTATGGGCACAGCTGCAATTGCGCTTTCCCGCGGGTGGAGGAGTGAGAGAAAATTGCTAAATTACATGCTGGTGTGCTTGTTAAAATTCAATCAACTCCCTCTGAATTGGCGGGTGAAGAGCATCTGCTGGGAAAGCCATTGTCTGTGCCCATAATCACTGCCAAGGGGCCTATCAGCCCATCGATGATATCAAAAGCTCTCTCTCTCTCTCTCTCTGCTCTCTTGTCTAGGCAACATTGTTCTGTATTGTGCTGTGGCTATAGAGCTGTGTTGTGGTGCGCAACCAGTGTGTTACAATCATTTTCTTCTTTTTTCCACCCACCCCAAAACCCCCAGCGCGACAATCGTGCGGCGGAGAAATTGGGGGTTGAATGACGAGAGAGAGCGCATATCCTTGAATCTCCCAAGCATTCAATGTGCTGTGCATCCCGAGAGAGTGTGCCACAGCGCCAAGGGTGAGAGTTCAGTGAGTGGAAGGACACAGTCGTGTCAGGACATATGCCAAATTGTTGGCTAACACCCGTCGCCAAGTGAATAATCGTCCGCGGCCGAGCTGGCCACCACCTGGACAATATCAGCCGCGAGGGTGAGCACGCGGAGGCGCGCATCAAATGGTCGATAAATATTCCAAACACCGCGGAAAGTTTCAGCCTGGGAGCGAGACAGAGAGACAATTAATCAAATGATGTGCTTTTAACGTGAGCTTTTCACACTCAAACACACACTCACACACTAACACACACACGTGAGAGTGACGTCGAGAAGGTGAGGGAAAAGCGTCCGCCAGGAGCATCAGAAGGCGACACTCTGAGGTGAGAATCGACAGAATTTTCCTCGCAATTTTCCCTCCAGCAGCTCCTCATTCCCTTGACACCATTCTCTCATCTCTGAAGCAACAATTCTCACGCGCTCACCCTCTCTTCCGCCAGCTTCCCAGACACAACCTCGCCACCCCCGAAGGACATTTTCGCCCGCCCAGGAGAGACAGGAAGGGCCTCGAGGCGCCAACAAAAATCCCCGCAGACACACCGAAAGGCCTGAAATTCGAGAGCAAAGATGCTGCCGACTAATGTGATGTCCTTCATGAAGAAGGTGAGCACCATCAAACCTTTCTTTCCTTATAGTCGTGCACCTCAATTGGAGAGGTGTTTCCCCGCAAGGAGTGGGTAGTTGCTTGATTGCCAGCCTGGGAGATTTTAACCCCTTGATTAGAGGATTTTGCACTTTGTGTCAACCTTCAACCCTTCTCTGTCTAGTAAATTATTCAAATTCTATTAATTATTCAATTTATTGTGCCTCCAGAAGACACTCGGGGATTTTTCATGGTTTTCACCCAGCTAAAAGGTGGGACTTTGAAGGCACAGAATTTGCCTGCGAGCTCAGCAAGGATGAAATTACATTTTTCCACAATGTCATTATAGTGTTGAAAGTGATGTCAAAGGAGTCTAAATAACAAAGAATACATGCAAAGATATTAATTCTCTTCTTTAAAAGTAAAAGAAACTCAAATCTGCGGTATAATATTCTACAAAATGCCACCAATTCCATAAAAATCCTTCAGGCATATGCAAATTTTGCAGCGTGAAAGATCGATCTTAATACCTTTTATTTGCTAAAATATAGCAATACTGAGATTTTTTTACTTCGTTATTTTGATTAGGAATTGCAACATTTAGAATCGTGAACCTCGTTAATAATTTCTTGAAACGCACTTTCTTTAACTTTTTCAAACGTTGAACTTTTCCGAGAAGGATTTGACTCTCAATATCCTGGCAAAGTAGATAAAAAAGCAATTTTATAATATGATGTTTGAGCGGAATTTATCTGCTCATGTGAATTAAACGTGAAAATCAACATTCTGCATCCTGAAAAAGTTGAACAAAAGAAGAATCAGGAAAATCGTGAACAAACTACTTCAGTAAAGTCCAAAGGGAATTGTATGATTTTCATGATGTTTAATCTCTCATTTTTTTTCAATTAAAATGGGAATCATGATGGTTTCTTGGGAAAATAACAATCTCTTTCTTGCTCCAGTGGATTCCCAACCTTCGATAGTCCTTTTCATTCCTGAAAGTGACGCATTGTCATCTCAAGATTGCGAACTCACGAGAGCGCAAAACGCTTTGAGATTTCAAGATGAAATCTCTGGAGTGGCGAATGTTCTGCTTTCTGTAATATGACTCCCAGGTGCAATTTGAGAATTATTCTCATTGAAATGCAAACAAGATAACAGCGGGGAAAGCATTACATGGAGAATTATTAGATAAAGTTTATCTGAGAGTTGGGCGAATCGTCCGTAAGTTTAATTCAACGTGATTGAATTTGAGACTCGGGGGCAGTTTTGAATTTCTGGTGTCCTGCAAATTCATGATTCGCTCCTGATGACGGGATCTTTCACTGAGTGGATGTTTTGTGAAAATCCGGGGCGTGTTTCGTCACACAGAGTTTCTATATCGTCGAAATGCGAAATTCAGGGGTTTTGACTACAAACATTGCCAACAGAGCTAACTCACTCGTTAAAATCGGATTAAGTGCTTGTTGCTGGTGAATAAAAGTTGTCAGTTTAAATACCCGCCCGGATCAGAGCTCCCAAGGCTGCTCGTGATGTGCCCGCAGAGCTTGAAGATTAGGTTCTGAGGTGATGCAACGAGTGCGAGCTTTGCTGGGTTACTTGTTGATGGCCTCGAGTGCTTTTCATTTTGGCCGCTTAGTCATCAATTCTCTGGCTGGGAGATTTTCTTGTTCCGTGAAAAAGGTCAATTGATGTATTGTTCCTTTCTCGAATTTTCTGTCCTCAGAGCAAAATCGAGAGGGGGAAGCCGATAATTAGGGTCCGCTTCGAAAGCTCTCTTCACTGTCAATTTCAAAGGTCCTCCGCACACACACACTTTTAGCTGAATCATTGCGAAAAGTGTACAACTGTATTCACAGAAAACCACATTTTATATGCCAGAAAAGCCTCACAACCAACCTAATAAAGTCATAATATGTGTCACATTTTCGACTGTTGGGACACAGGAAATGCCATGAGAGTTTGTGCTTTAGTTGGCGTATATTTAAATGAAATAATTTAATTATAAATATCACATACACGTAGAGGTTCCATACGGGAAATTCTCGTGTCATGTGGAATATTTCATAACTTCTTAAATAAACCTCTGAGACAGGGAGAATCAGTTGAAAGTCTGGGTGTAATGGCAACAGAATTATACACCCCAAGAATGATCTCAATGGCCACAACATTCCCAGCAGAGAGTCATTCTTTCCCCACTTGAGGAATTAATTAATTCGTCGAATGCAAATACTCTCCCAGCGACAGTGAGTATAAGAGCCCACGCGGAAAACACTTCTGCAGGAGCAATAAAAAAGCTCTCGCATTGAAAGCGTCAAAGAGCTGAAAAGTTCGTGGAATTGTGTGAAAATTCGCGAAGAGTGTGGGTTTCTCCCCAACGGTGGAAATGTGTCGCACAATTGACGGGGAGACATGCAAGCTGACGACGACGAGAAGCAGAAGAGAGCCACCCAGACGTTCTCCAGATGTGATGAAATAGACATGAATCCTCCTTCAGATCTCCGTTCAGGAGAGAGAGAGAGAGTGAGTGAAAAAAGAGTAATATTGTTGAAATGCATAGAAGATGATTCTCCACATCACCGCATTTCATTTCGCTTCCACCCTCTGTGAGAGCTTTTCTCCATTTCATTTCAATTTCATTCACCCATTAATTCGTGATTTGCTTCATTTCCTATTCGAGGCGCTCGCACAATTCTCCCAGAGGCCTCCGTCGCCACCCCATCGATCCGCAAACCAGTTTAGAGGTGTTCATCGCCGCTGCCCCCGGGGCGCAGGGGTGGCGATATCGGGGGTTAGACGCTCTCCACACTCGTATTTGTTTCTGTGCAGCCAACATGAAATTTCGTCTCGCAGCCTCGATGGCACAAAAGCTCTCCAAGAATTATTTCCCAGCGAGAAATTGCTTCGCCTCCGAGGGCGGAGTGGCGAAAAAATGGGGAACAATGAGAAAAGCAGTAAGTCCCCGAGAAATGCTCGTATCTCGCCGTGACGGAATGTATACTGCTATGTTCAGGAAATAGTGGAGCTTTCTCAGGCATTGTGAAGCTTTTGGAGGCTTATAAATTTGGTGTTTCTCAACTGAGTTTGACAATCTTCAGCAACTTTATTAAAAATTTCTTGACAAATATACGAAGTTATTTTACGCCCAGCTTACAAGATTGGACAGATTTTGAAGTCATGTAAGAAGGTAAAATAAAATTGAAATATCGCTTAATCCATGAATCGGACGAATTTATGTTGTTCAGAAGATCCGGGTGATAATATTATCTTTTATAACCCGAACACACAGAAATATGTTAATGTGCTTATTGTTACTGCTAAAGTACAACCCAAGTAGTTTATGTTTCACAAATAACGCATATCAACACAAGATTTGGGATCGAATCCTCAGCAGTGAAGGCACTTCTCTCTTACTTGCAGATGGTGGCGACGGACGAGGCGCAAACCCAGTCCACGCAGGAGTCGACAGGGACGTTTGGTAAGTTCAAGCAGACCCTGTCGACGTCCCTGCTCACGGCGCAGGACAAGGTGCACAAGATGTCCCCGCGGCCGTCTTTGGTGCCCGAGCCCGATCCGCAGCCGGCCCCGGCGCCCGCGGAGCCCGCCCCGGCTCAGGGCGCGGACAAGGGCGACCCGTCGAAGCCCCCGCAGCGGTCCGGCGCCTGCCGGGTGTGCCTGAAGTCCTTCAAGCCAGACGAGTTCAGCAAGACCTGCTGCGAGTGCCAGCAGCGCGTCTGCGAGGATTGCGCCAGCTACAGCAAGACGGAGGAGGACAAGGACGTGGTGAGTGCTCGAGATAGATAATCGCTCATTCCGCAGCTCGTCACGTGGAGCACGAAATGACGAGTGTCGAGAGTGGACTCTCAGGGCACGAGAATAGGCCGTCAAGTGTGGCGTGGGACACACAAAGGAACTTTTCTCCGTCCCCCAACTGTGCAAACTTGGTGGAGTTTGACACACAAAACCCATCAAGACGAGATTGCTGGGGAGCGAAAAGAGAGCAATTCAACTCATATTAGCTCTCCATTTGCTGCAACTTTGCTAATTAGTCACTCAATTGAGAAATTCGAAATACATTGACATTTCGTGCCTTTCGCACATTTCACGTGCACCATAAATCTTGAACCGTGAGTTGGGAAAATTTTTTAAGGGCTGCCAATTGATTTTCCACTTTTTCCACACCGAGTGCTGATCACTTTCACTGGGTGACATAAAAGCTCACTTTATGTATCCCATTCACGCTGGCTGGGCTGACATTGAAGCGAGAAATCAATCAAATGCATAAATGGTGATAAAATTCATGAATTATCGAGTGAGAATTACGAGGTATTAAATGTGAATAATTTAAATGCGAGAATAATCGTCCCTCAATCCACGTTGGTATGTTGTCACAAAGTCCTATTCAATTTTTCACGCTCTAAATGTTTTTTGAAACGCATTGTGGAGAGTAATAGAAGTTTCCACCTTACTTATACCGCATGTCATTCGGGATTGAAATTCGCAAACTTTCATCGCTACACAAATCACAAAACGAGATCAGTAAAATTGATTATCCGACTCGTCGTAACTCGCACATGGTTAAAGTTTCATCGATTTTGGCTTTTCTTGTTTAATGAAGTCGAGACAATTAAGTAATCTTGATTTACTCACACAAACACTTTGGCTCAGGATTTTTCTCAATTAAAACTCTTTAGTTTATAATTGCTTGGTGAGCGTTTGTCCTTCATACATGTAAAATATATGCTCTATATTTCAGCATTAAATATTTCACTATTAACTTGTATAATTATGCACAAGGACACACTGCACCCGAGGGATAGAGCAAAAGTAGAGGCTATTGTTGCACAGTTCATGCTGTGCACTGAAAACATGTGAAAATGAGTTCCGCTCAAGTTAATTAACACGATTTCTCAGAAGCAATATAATAGAAGGATTCGCAAAATGCAATCGACACATTCATCCCTAACATGGCTTGATTATCTGCAGGATGTCGAACACCTGATTTTGGGTGGTGCCCAGAAATACTTCATTAAAAATTGATTTCACAATTTTCATTAATTATGCAAAAGCATTCCACAGGCGCTGTGCGTAGTTTGACGAGAGGTATTTTGATGGTTGTAAAAGTTTTTCGAATAATTACACTCTTTCCTGTGTGTGTACAGTTGGGGAAGTCCTTCGAATTAGCATAATTGAGTGAATGATGAGAGAGAAAAAAACTGTTGAGCTCGGACGCAGACTTTTCGCGATGTTTATTTGCTTTTCGAGAGAACAGACAGCTTTCCATCCATGCTCAGCGCGCTGCTCTTGTTTGCAGATGCTGAGCGGTGTGTGTGGGAGAAGTTTGAAATCCACGGCGGAGGTTTTCCGGAAGGTACCTCTTGCATGGACTTCAATAAATAAACACTTACAATTATGAGGCGTAAGGAGAAAGTACAGGCATCAACGTCAGAGTTGTGTTTCCGTGGAAATTCATTCAATTCATGCTCAGTGACCGTAAAGCTTCATCTGTTATCCAACTCGCTTCCATCTATTCAACATGTTTCAAAAGACCAAGGCTAGTTGTATTTTTGCAGAGATTGCCGGAAAAACGCACTCAGGAGAGAAAGACAGGCTGATATATAGGAATGACAAAATCCACCGTGAAAAACGTGGGCTTTCGAGTGGGTTGAAGTGTGCTAAAATGTTTGCCTCCATGTGTGCTGCTGGTGTAATATTTTCATTTTCTTGCAATATTAGCAAAATTTTTGGAAAACCATTAAATCAGTTGAAGGGACTTTTTGTGGCTCCTGCAAAACGTGACTCTGGCAAATGCGCCACCGAGAGAGATGAGATTTCTGCGAGTGTGGGTGGATATAAAACTTTCAAATCGATATCACTTTACATTCCACACAAAATTCGTATAATTTGCCCAGGAAATAAACTTTTCTCTCTCTCAGAATGGGCATGGTGGAGAGAAAGATTTTCCATGGGCTCAGAGGATTGGAATTTATTGGATTTCCTCGGACATACGCTGTGCGAGTGGGTGGAAGGCGGCGGAGGGAAATTCTCCGAATTTCTCAATGCCAGAGTCCCTGAAGTTATCCACTTTTCGACTCAATTTACTCACGCCTCAACGCACTGATCTCGTGTGTGTTCACTCTCGTCCTTCGCAGCGTACTTGGCGATGCAGCGTCTGCCGCAGGAAGATGTCCTCGCGAGTGTGCATCCCGCAGGACTCCACGGACTCGATGCTGGAGGTGCCCATCCTGGAGGTGCTCGTGCGCCGCCACAGTGACGCCAAGCTGGGCTCCACGACGACCCTGGGACCTGAGAATGGGGTCGGCCTGGCCCCGCCGCGCAGTCCCGAGCTCAGACGCCACTCAGACGTGTCACCGGCATCGCTCAAGGAGCTGGAGAAGGTAATTTGAGACGCCCACAGGCGAAATTCAAACTATAGATCCTCATCATAATCCTGCTTGTGACAGTTTTTCGCCACGCTTCACTCACTATTTTTTTGGCCTCCCGAGACAGCATTTAATTGGATTTTTCACCCACAATTATGAGTGAGAGCGAGCGAAAGCCATTCATTCCCCTGCTTTTTGGAAGTGATATTGTCAATCAAAGTCACTTACCTCAGTTGCATTGCTCCTTTTGGCGTAATTATAGCGCGATACCATTTTAATTTGAAGAGTTTTCTTTAAAGGTCACACTGCGAAACTTTACATACGGTTGAATTATACCTGCTCTTGGCAGGTGTACAACATACATTTCACGAGTGAAACTTATACAGCCCTTTATTTACTTTGTCAGCCAATTTTAGAGCTTTCACAAAAGGCAAGAATATGGATTTATAGGCGTCTAAATTTAAATTCGATGTCCTGCACATGACCAGAAATGTGCAATATTTTGTGGTAGTCCTTGATTCAGGGTCACTCTATTCAATTACAATTGAGCTTTTTGAGTGGAAATTCAAGGAAAATCATTGCTTCACATTCTAATAGTGATATATTGTTGATAAAATTTTGCAGTTGAAGGGCTCAAAGACACCAAACAGGGACAGTGAGTGGAGGCGAGGACGCAGTGTGGCACCCAGTCGCTCCTCCAGTCCGCCCAGGCGAGGTGAATTCGACATCCCGCCCTCGAAGCTCAACTCCAGGCGCGGCTCCCGTGTTCCCGTTCGCCAGCACAGCTACGATGACGACGTGAAGAACTCCTCGATGGGCAATGTGAGCACCATTGAGCCCGGTCTCGGCATCCCATCGCCCATGCCCAGACGGTAAGTTGATTTCCCTGGAAAATTCTTACCTATACATTCCATGTGGTATGATTTCCTCAATGATCACACTATCATCACACATTTCCAAGAGCAAACCTTGCCGTGAGACGAGGTGAAATTGGTGCTAGCATGAAAAATTGATTCTCCACCATCCATGCGAATTCAATGCAGTGCACATTTATTCCCACTGAAGAATTCATGAGTGGCCTGAAGGGATTCCAATAGAAAACTTTCCATTATATTGAATTTATTTTGCTACTTTTATTAAATGTCACGTTACTTGCAATATTGCATATGCAGAGCTTCGGCTTACGATGTCTTCGCTCCGGGCATTCTCGCCCAGGCGGCTCAAGTGGCCACGAAAAATGTACCTGCGGAGAGGATTTCATCACGCAGATCATCCTTCAGGGTGCCGCCGCCGGATGAGCTCGCCCAGAGTGACTCCATCCCGAGTCCGGACAAGAGCAGCGCCACTCTTGGCATTGACGACTCGGAGAGAAGGACGCGTCGCAGGGGATCGCAACTGTGAGTCTGTGTTCAGCTGTTTACGCACTGGCATGTGATACTGAGAGATGTAATTGCAGGCCGGACATCTCGGCGCTTCAGAACAGGAGTGCGAATCCGCTGAATCTTCCAGCGCCGTCATATCAAGCCCCCACTTTGGAGGATCTCGAGGCGCCCAGGCGACAGACATCGATGGACGGCGAGGCCATCAAGATCGTGATCCACGACGTGGACTCCGGTCAGGCGTGCGCTTCTAAGAGGCGGGTGGTTTTGCGTCGGGATCCCTCCGACAAGGCACATCGAAGTAGGACCTCTGGTACCCACTTTGTTCACAGTATGACCTATGGGTGATCTCTCGTTTCAGCTCGAGGTTTCGGGATGAGAGTCGTTGGCGGCAAGACGGGAGCTGACGGTCGTCTCTTTGCCTACATTGTGTGGACAGTTCCCGGCGGTCCGGCCGAGAAGGCGGGCCTACTGCAAGGCGATAAGGTGAGAAATAACTGTCATGAGCTCATTAGAAAGTCTGTGCTCTCCTGCTGCTGTTTTCACGCGAATCCACTGTTTCTCCGGCAGATTCTCGAGTGGAATGGATATTCACTGATCGACCGGAGCTTCGAGGAAGTGTGCGCTGTGATGGATCGCACGGAAGACGTGGTGGATCTGCTCGTGGAGCACGCCACGGACTATCGAATATGTGATTTGCTGGAGGACGGCGCCAGGGACATGGGCGCCTCGCAGCCAGTGGCCCCCAAGTCGACGGCTGAAGTGTCTCTTGGCTTGATTCCAGGTGAGTGGGGCGAAGATTATTGGGGATCATCCTTCACTATCTTATAGCATTTCACTTTCGATCCTTCTGAGTGTTTCTCAGTACTTCACTGATCTCTTCTCCATCAATCTCAATGTTGGATATCTCTGTAACGAAATTCTTTAGCTCTCTATATATAAATAAGAACTTTGAAATTGATGTGATAATTGTAACATGATGATATTTACCCTCTACCTTGTTTTTTTCTCTTCTGTTCTTTTGTCTCTCTCCTCATGGACAGATAATGAGTCGACGGACAAGTCGCCGTCATCCCCAACTAGACGAAAACTTCCAAAAACTCCGGTATAAGAAAAACAAAGTATTTAATTCTTTACAGTGCCACAAAGAAATATTTTGAAAAAAAAGAATGACACACATCACCAAAAACCACATCATTTTAATCAGTATATCTATTCTTGTGTAACATTCTCAGCCAGATTTATACATCAAGAAACTATACATATTTCCTATATATATTTATTGGATATACATATATTAAAAGATGATGATATTACATGTTAATATGTACAACATTGAGTAGCTTATCAGAAGTAATTGTACGTTGTTTCCGTTTTTTGTCACATAGTCGAATAAACGTTCATAACAATGGGCGTCAGTGTGAATACAGACCATTTCTTTTGCAAATGATAAAAGAAGAGAATATTTAACGATGAAAAAATCTTATATAAACTTTCCTTTTTACCACTTCTTTTAACTCTCATTTGGTACTAAAATAAAGCTAGAATCATCACTGCAGTGATCTTACTTGATGATACATTGAATTGTGTGTGTGTAGATTTCTGAAGGATGATTTTAGTAAAGAAAAAGACATGATAAGCATGAGAAATAAGCTTAAGGAAGAAAGATGAACAAGCGTGAAAGAATTTTCTTCAGCAATTTTTCTTCCTTTATGTTTCCTCTATTTTCTCAACTTTGCACGACTTCTTTCTTTTACCATTTTCTCTATTATCAATGGCGAACAGATGAAAAAATACAGCGTCAAGAGATAAGCGGGAGAGAAATGATAGCATATAAGCAATTTGTCTAATTGGTAGAGTCGCATGAAAAGAAGTTTCGTGGTGTGGATGGAGAAGGCCTTTTGTCGTCTGGCGGGCGCGGGGCGGCAAAAGCGGAGGAGAAAATATGTATCCATACAGAGCTTTTTGCGGGGGTGTGACTCGGGCCAAAGGGGTGCATATGAGTTTTTGGAAAAGGTATATGTAGTCTCTCTGTGATCCTCTTTTGGGAAACTTTTTACTAAGCATGGGAGCAGAGAAAGAACACCCACGTAAAAATCACTGATTCATTAAATTTGCTCCTCATGACACTCAATTTATTTCTCTTTCGTGCCACATTATTCAAATTGACACACATTTATACCTTCCATTGACACCGCAAAAGGCGTCCTTCTGTGAGGTGCAATAAATTTTTAATAGGTTTCTCCTTTCTTTCACTGTGACTTTTCGCTACATTTTACACACCATCCGCCAAAATCTATTTTTACAGACCCTTCTCGAGGGCACAAGCAGATGTATAGAGGCGGAATTGTAACATGTCAGGAGAATTTACCGTGAAAGCTCCGCAGCTGAATGCCAAGATAGCACAATTTCCCCGTTTATTTTTCCATTTGCTGCACAATAGCATTTTCCACGAAAGAGCAAGAGGCTGTTGTTCCGAAGGAGTTTAAGAAGAAAATTCTATATTAACATATTGAATAAATCGAATGAGGCGGAATAGAGCAAACAAGATAATCTCCAAGATAATCAAAGAGAACATTTTTTGGGAAGAAGATTGAACATTCTATAAATATTTTTCTATCGTATTTTTATTGATTCCAAGTATTTTTCTAATTCCACAACATTTACATTAATTCCATTTAAAAGAAAAGAGAAAAATGATTAAAGCTGTGGGAGTGCTAAAGAGAGATGTTATTTAGGATTCTTTCAAGATGTGAAAAAAAGAAGAAAAAGTTGGGAGAAAGGCTTAAAAACAAGAATGAGGCTGTGCTTTAACTGGGGAATGACATAAAGAATACTGAGCCATTTTGGGGGGTGTGAAAATCCACACAATGAAAACCACATAACAGCATGGAGAACAAAGAAGAGAATTAGTCAAAATGAACCACCTTTTTCGGTAGGAGACAATAAAATGTTCCCCTGAGAAAAAATCCTCTTTCTCTCACTCTTTCTTCCACTCACAAAAGATAATATAATTTTTTATTTTAGAGATAAAACACACCTTTTCAAAATCTCACCTTTTGTATCTACACAGATATTTACGTAGAGAAAAACTTTTACGAGGGCTTTGAATGGAAAATAGTGTGAAGACATTTTATGTACACTTCTCTCTGAGCTTTTGATGTCTTCCCACCAAACTTTTTGATGAACATTAAAACTTTCTTCGACTGATCGTGTTTCCATGCAGAGGCATTGAAACGATCACATGACAATCATCGTGGTAAAATGCTTATTTGCATTTTTCTCAAAGTCTGAACATATTTTCTTCGACTAATGGTTTCCCTATCCATTAAATCCACAATTTTAGCAACTGTCTTCCCTTAAACGTTCCAAATTCACACCACTTTCAAACTCATCCATGGAGACTTATCGTGATTGATTCCTCCTAAATTCAATGTGACAATCATAATGTGGCGATCGTAATGAGTTTTAACAATCGATTTTATAAATTATACCGCCGATTTGTTGTCCATAATTGAACTCTGTGGCACTTTTCATCGGTTTTCGGTGTGTCCTCTGTAATTAAGTTTAGTTCCCGAACTGGGAATTGGCTAAAAGCCTCCCGTGGCTTTTGGAAATCAATGTTGTTGCACTATTGGTGCACATTATACTCACTAATGAGTCTTTAACCGACTGGCAAATTACTGAATTTGCCCACGTTTTCGGAAAATGTATTGAATAATCCAAAAAGTTATTGATTCTCGCTGGAGGCTTCGAACATTCACACTATTTTCCATTCGTTTGAGGTGATTTTTCAGAGTAAAAAAGGAGAAAATTAAGTAAGAGTAGAAACTAATAAGAAGTTGTTGTAAGAGTAGGATTTTTTGATTTTTTTCCCTCTTGATTTGTCATAAATAGAATGAAAGAGTGTTAAAATGAAGTTACAATTTGTGGCAATTCTAAGGACAGAGACAAGAAATGCTACAGGTTAATTTATATAGTAAATGTTATTAAGCGTTAAGAGAAAAAGAACAACCATTAAGATATATAGTGAAGAAAATTTGCCTATGTTTTCTGTATTAAGATGGACAAGTGGATATATAAGAACTTATTTATTGAGCAAAGATGAAACAGAGAAATAAAATTGAATTTAGCAAAAGAAAAAGTCATTTTTGTTATTTTCACCATTTTTTATTTCAATGAAAATTAGGATAAAAAGCAAAATAAGGAATTGCATGTTGGCTTTGTCTGCATTATATTTTCTTGGTTTTTTTTTTACTTTAAAAAAATAATTATTACTTCGAAACACTCTTTATATATTAGATAACTTAGTTCGAACGTTGATGCATTTGCAAGTCGAATTTTGACGCCAAAATTGCAACTTTCAGTCTTGATATTTATAATTTTGGACAGTTTAATACATTATTAGATTAATTATGTATGAATAAAAAATATATGCATTTTTTTTAAATAGATGAATTCTCTCTTTTGTTATTGATTTGTTAGCGCTGAAGAGATTTTTTGTATGATTTGTATTCTCTCATGTTATTCTTTTCGTTTCATCCTTCTTTTGCACTTTATACTTTCAAAATTATATACTTTAAATTCGTTCTATTTTGACATCACATAACAAAATGCATTAGAAGAGTATATTTATAGAGATAAGAAAACCTGTGGGAACATTAAAAATTTCTAATTGTATGGTGTAGAAGAAAAACAGAAATTCTACCAAAATTACTTGAACAAAGTAAAAAGTCTGTTTTACTCTTCAAAAATTCACTCTCTTTCCTGATTCATGTCTTTTAGTGTGTATGCGTGTGTTATTTTCTTTATTTGTACCAAGGAAGGGAACAAACACACGAGAAATATATAGCTAAACTCGCCACATGAGGCGCTTTAGAGATGATATACAATACTTTCTGGAGGAATTCTTCTCTCTCTCTCTCTCTTCTGTGTCTTTTTTATATCATACTTTTTGTTTGAATTGAGACACGAGAAAGACACAAAAATACCCTCAAATTTTGATCTTTTTCACTTGGTCTCCTCTCAGACTGAACAAATATCAAGTGAGAATTTTGACAGCACAATAAATCACAGACGAGCAAAATTCTCGCGCAGCGAAACATAAGAAGCATTTTTGCAAATTTGACAAAAAAAACAAAGATTTAAATAAGAAATACTCGCCCTTGCTATGAACAAAGTTTATTAGGCTATTTTGTCACTTAGTTTTGTCACTTGGATTTTTGTTTTTTGGCCTCTACTTTCACTGTCTCTCTTCCTATACTTTCAAATTTTTACAAACCACTGTTGATTAATATTGTTATCTGAATAATGGTAAAATTGTGTGTTATCACTGTCTTCCTGCCTTATCGTTGAGCTGAGTCTCTCTCTCTCTCTCTCTTCTCGTCATCTTTCATTTTCTTCACAACCTCACTTTCTCAGATTTTTTCCCCAATCCAGAAGCAAGATATTACATGGAAAAATCTCTTGCTTTTGTCATGAAAATTCCCAGTCAGACATTTTTGGCAAGTTTGGTTTTGAAGCTTTGCCCACGAAGCCTATTCTCGACCCCCTCAAATGTTCCATTTGAAGCCTTGTATTTTATCATGATTCATTTTTATGATCTTTTTTCTCTATCATACAATGAAAATTTTGTAATGTTCAGCCACATGTAAGAAATTGACAAACAGAATATACAGAAAACACGGAAAAACTGACATACATACTGGTTAGAAATTACCTATTTAGGACATAGTTTGCATTCTGCACGGACTGTTGTGTGTTTCGTGCATCGCACAATTTGTAGCTGTGTAGCTTTCGATATTTAATGCATGATTTTGCACACACTTCGATTGATGTATCACGTGGATTTCAATCGCTCTATATTTATCATGATTTTCTCAGGAAATCGAGAGTTCAGCAATATGACTTCTCATCAATTTTCCGACTGGAGGCAACCCCAAGGTGATTTTTCGCAATATGGGGGTTAATAAATCCACAATTATGTCATTTTTCACCAGAATCCCATTCTTGGTGGCACAGATATTTGCCTACAGCGTCTAATTATCTCATAATTATCAAGATGAGAAATTAATTAGCGTGAAAATAATTGCCACATTAATTAATATCAAGTGATATTGGACTCGACTCTTTAATCTCCACTCCTCGTCATCCTTTTCACCACTCTCAATTACCACATCATCTGTATGGCGCCCTTTTCAGCAGACAGCAAATTATTTCCTGTCCCACAGGAAAGGCCAAATTCATCTGCAAGCGCATTTATCTGACGTCACTTATGCAGACCTTTTGCAGAAAGCTCGGCTGGTAATTTTTTCAGTACTTGGCATTCAAAAAAAAAATTACGACGTGATTCAATATTGAGGGAGTGGAGTGAATTTGTTTATGACTTAACACAGTGATAATGACTTCCAGAGGAAGCTCTTAAGGCTTAATTACTTCCTGAAGTATAGTGGCATGAAGAAAAGCCAACGGAAATTAATGTACAGCTAAAATCAATATTCAAGAGATTAACAAGGGTTCTCATTATAGGATTTTAAGTGTGAAATCACTTAGAAATTCCATGCGGGATTATTTAGAATCATATTCAGATAGGGAGAAATATTCCAATGCCCCGCCCACCCGAATGCTCCACCCATTTGAATGACTCAAATAACCTTAAGAATAAATCAAATAGAATATAAATTCCCCTGAATGCTCCCTCATTTGCATTCCACAGTCAACTAATAGTTTTCAAACTGCTTCCAATAAAGCATTTAAATACCCTGAAGAGATTGAATCTTCTCTAGCATTTAAATCACTTTCCAGATCAAAGGCACAAATCTCAATTGCATTTCCTCGCTTACTCAACTGCAAATACAAAAATATGCAAATTTTCCTGAACTCTCGAATCCTTTTTGCCTTTCCGTCTGCACGATTTGGATTTCATTGGCGAGAGAGACGCACTGTGCGCAATGTTGGCATGCTCGTGATTCGATTTCTGTTCCCCGGTCGCGGAGGAGTTGTTGTGCTGGACGGAGGAATTGAGGAGGCGCAGTGCTGTGGCATCACGAGGCCGAGGAGGAGAGCCGCTGCCCTGTCTCACCACCGTCCATCCTTTGTTGTCCCTCTAGGAGCAAATTATGCGGGAGAGTCAGGTGTCCGGGCGCGTTCAGTTGCAAGTGTGGTACCACGGCGAGCGTAAGGAGTTGGTCGTCTCTCTGATGGCGGCTGATGATCTGGCGCCTCGGGATGAGTTCTGCGGCTTCGGCAACCTGCCCGAGGCATACGCCAAAGTGCGAATTGCCCCCAGAACGTAAGAGCCCATGCCAAAAAAGCTCCCTCATCCGGCGCGGACTCACGCTAATGAACAGAATGACTCTAAAAATACATTCTGCGAACAATGGGAAGCATCACTTAATTTGCAATTTCACTGGGAGAGATTCCGAGTCACTCACATTTTAGCTGCAAAGTAGCTCCTCAATAGAGCGCTTTCACTCACACACAACTTTAGATGAGCCGCACAGATGGGGGAATTTTTTCCTTCATCACGAATACTTTATACATATTTTAAGTTTGGAAATGGAAGTGCTGGAGAGAGGGCGGTTTAATGATGCGAGAACTTTTCCATAGGAAAGAATGCACAGATACAACTTGAGTAATGGTAGTTTTGTCGACAGCTTTAGTAGTTATGGTATTATAGCAAAATGACCGTAATTATTCAAAGCTCTCAAACACTTTGGGGCATCCAATTTGACTTTTCCAATTACGGAAGAATCGAGAGAGCTTGGAGAGCACTAGCACGGCTCTCTTTTGTAGTTGCGCTGGAAAATCACTGTAGAAAAGCAGAAATCTTTAAGAACTTGTTCAGATATCGATAATTTGTGATTCTATGCAAAAGCTCATCATAGCGAGTGCTTATCTGCGCTTTTATCTCTCCAGCACAGGCCCTGAGCTTCTCGATTACTTGTAGTAATTTCGGATGATTTGCCTTTGCAGGAGCGACGGTTTTATTGCGCAAACTGAGGTCTCAGCGCCAACGGTGAACCCCATCTGGAATGCCACGTTAACGTTCTCTTCCATCACGGAGAAAGAGCTTACGGGCAGAGCGCTGGAGATTGCGCTGTGGGATCTCATTCCCTACGGCGAGAGCACATTCTTGGGCGAGTGCAGTGTGGACATTGAGAAGGCCTTCCTTGAGGACCGCGCCATATGGTATCGCCTGCAGGATCCCAAGCACATCCGGGCCACGATGTACGGCAGCTCGAGCAGTATTAACAGGAGCGCTTTCGCGTCACCGCGCGGCTCTATAAGTGATCTGCAGCGTTTGCACCATCGCAATCTGGTCGGTAGTCGCGACAGTATCAAGCGATCCGTGTCCGAGGACGTGGACTATATGGGCGGATCTTTCCTGCATCCCAACCACGCGTGGATGCCGGGCTCGCGGCGCGGTTCGTCGCAGTCGGAGACACTCGAGGTGGAAGTGTATCAGCTGGTGAAGGACTTCTCCAAGAGTCTCCCCGGTTCGCGGCGGTCGTCGTTCCAGGACAGGGACGGGAATCCGCTGCCCGAGAGCGAGCACCACTCGTCGCACGGACACCTGAGGACCAGCCGACGATCCTCGTCTGTGCACCACTATGATCCGGACGACCTGTTCGTGGAGGGCCGCAATGTGCGCTACACTGTGGACAAGTACGGTGCGTCGAAGAGCATTAAGCAGAGTCGGATGTACTTCGACAGATCGAAATAGTGTGAAATGACAGCGAAACTCAATCAATTGATCGACTCCAAAACGACTCTTATAAGAATGCAAAACCCCATAAAAGTAGAATTGTAGCTGGTCATAGACATTGTTAGGCGACACTAATCAATAACATTATATAGGGATTAAAATTAAATGTGACTCACTTTAACTTGATGGCAAAGCGACAATCTAACGTAGGAACTCTTAACTTTAAGGACTATTATCCCATTACCTGTCATTGATACTCATTAGACCTCCCGAGCCTGATGGTCCTTCTTTTCCGTGCCCGTGAAAAGGGAGTGACAGTTTTGGTAGTTTTATGACAATGAGAACTTACGAATTTTTAACTATATCTTGGAAAATCTCTCTTCGACATATCAAAAGACGAATAAATTCACGTGAGAAATGGCACGAGTTCAATAATCAACTTCGAAAGCCTAAAACTTTGACGGTTTAATGACAATATTAAGGAAACAGAGAGAGTTGAAAATCTAGGGTTTCAATTCAATAGTGGTAAAAATTCAGGATGAAAGATTTTCTGCCTAATTAATGATTCTATGATTATTGAGCAATCGTACAATTTCTCACGACTCACTTTTAAAGGAAATAAACCCCTTCTTAACTCACGTGTGCTTCTTATCATCACAATCATTGTACAATAGAGGAAAATTCTCTATACAATTTCACAAAGAAAAAACAACGGAAAGCTCAGTCAAAGTGCAAAAAGGACAACCACGAAAGATATCTAAAATACAAATAAACTTTAAATGTGATTTAGAAAATGTTACACACTTCTCAAAGTATTTTTGTGAAAGAAGAGATTGATATCAGAGGGAGAATTTGAAATCAGTAGGCGGGAATTTGAATAATTTTCACAATTGCTGCAAGGAACAATAAATTCATTGACGTGCTAAAAGGTGATTTCCGCGCGTTTTCAGCCCATGGGTGAAAAGGAAGGGACAGAGGAACGTGAAATGAAATTCCGCATATAGGCAACGAGATTAGATTTTGTGTTGAGTGTGAAGAAAAGGGCATTTGTGACATGCAAAGGAATTTTTATGCTTTCTACCTGAAAAATTTTAATGAGAGTTCTTGTCGCATTGGCGAGAAAAGTGGGAAGAATTAGTGTTTATTTTTGGCAAGGAGAAAAGTGTAAAATGCTCGAAAGCACGAAATGTTATCGGAAGTATGAATTTAAAGGAAAAAGCTCTGCATTTAAAGATGTTGAAAAGCTGGGAAAAGGGAGAAAATCATAAAACTATTCGCCTATTGACTGTTCTAACACATAATAATATTGTAAAGGAAAATCATAAGATTCTCAAAGATGCCAATTTTTGGTTTCTACTTAATAGAATATCTTAATAGTTACACAGTTGTTGTTTGTGTCACTCTAGAACGAGAGCTTCTTAGAGTAAGTTAATCTAGCCTAGAGTGGATTTGCTCTAAGCAATCCCAATCAATGCTCTAGGCAACGTAGTCAGACCCCTTGAAATACGATGAAGACAATCTGCCGAAGTGCAAAGACATGAAGAGCTCACAGGATAGGTGGAAAATTTTCGGAAAAATACATTTTCAAAAAAGTATTTGTGTAAAGTTAGATTTTTGAATAAATTACGACACAAACTCTCTTAATTATTTCTCTAAAATGAAGTTAACAAAGAGGTGCTAATTCAGTAAGAAATATTAATTGTACAGTTAAAGAGATATTTTAGTAATGTAATTATTCATTCTTTGAAAATATTTTACTGGAAAGAAACTCAACATTGAGAAGATTATCACAAAGACTGTGAAATGCCCTACTTTTTGTACACTTAGACTTTCTTTAGAAGCAAACCATCGGCACTAATATATCCTAGAATTATTCGATTAAGAAAAAAATCTTGCAATCACTTTTACTCTTAGACTCTCTATGAAAACTTTTTGTAGAAGAAACTGTAGTAGAGAAAGGTAATTATTTTGAAAGTGACCTTATTGGTAGAGATAATAATTTATTATACTAAATATTCTTTGAGCACGTGCATTTTTTGAACGGATCTGTAAATTTGTTAACCACTTTGACGAAAGTTTCCGCAATCGTGAGCTCTTCTTTTGCACTAATTTCCACACAAAATTCCCATGAAAACCCCACCGATGGAGTCTTTTTTTCAGTTGATCTCTCAAAAACATTTCACCACAAATTAATATGGTTTCCGAGGCAATAAATGCTGGAATGTTCCTCGAAATTCGCCACAAATTGTGATTTCACGTACAATACAATGGAAGCGAGTGTAACTCAAATTCTTCTCTCCAGCCACTGAAAAGAGCATTGAAAGAAACCTAAAGAAAAAGTGAGCAGACAGAAGATTTCCGCTGCTGGTCAATTTCTAGAAACACAAACAAAAATTGTGCCAATGCATAGGAATTAAGTGCAAAAAAAACCTATAAAGAACAAGACATTAAAACATATATAGAGCTATTTTTGTTATAGTCTGTATCCAAGATGAAAAAGTCACTGTAGAAAAGAGTAAAGGAAATATGCAGTGTTGAAGCAGAGAGAGATAAAAGATATTTATTGCGAGGAGCAGAGGGTATTTTTGAACATGGAGAAACACTTTAAAATTTACTCCACATGGCCTGCATAATCTTTGCCATTTTCGCCTGTGGAGGGCTTTAAGACAATTTGCTGATGAGGTGGAATATCTGAACACTTTTTTGTGGATTATTTTACTGGGGAGATGATAAATGATAAAAGGTGTTTAATAAACATTACAATTGATCAATTTGTCTGTCACTGTGATTTCCTCCCCTCGATTGACGTCACGGCGAAAGTGAAAGTCCTCACATTTGGCCAGCAGGTGTGGTTTAGGGCAAATTCTCGTCAAATTGACCCATGATGATCATATAACTCACGATCGAGGCCACCATCTGCAAGAGACGCGCCAAGCACACTCGTCTTCAGACGATTTGCATGTCCAAGATTCATTTCCTGCCTCAAATCATGCCACAAGATCTTTCCAGTCCAGAAGACAGCGATCTTATGCAATACGATCTTGCAATAAATGGATTCTTATTACTTACCGATGATATGAACGGCACGTCCAAATTGAATAAGCCACAAATTGATATCGAAGCGGTTTCTTGAGCCACTTGAAGAGAGAAGATTTGCACCTGAAAGTGCCAAATTATACTTGTAAGTTTAGCGAATGTTGATCTGCATTTCTTACGCTCCTCTGAAGTCTGACATCAGTGTTGATGATGGAGATTTTGCCAAGCAATTTTCCAGTCATTTTCACCTCATTGTCCAGCTTTGATGACACAGCGCCCTGCAGAAGTAGCTCGCAAAAGCTGAAGATGATGAAGACAGTGGAACTGTAACTCCCGTTTAAATTATCGATGAGGCCTTTTAAGTAATACTTGAGCAAAGCAATGGTGAAGTAAGTTTGGAAAACAATTCCAAAAAACGATGTCATTAGGCAGAAAAGAATGCGAATGGAATAGAGACAGACGAGATCTTTCGTTGATTGACAAAGAGTTCGATGGTATATTGATAGTTTATCCACAAGATCGCTGAGTTCGCAGCACAGAGTAATCCTTTGGTATTCTGTCAAGTCCCTAGAATCTTTAAGCTTTTGCGCCACAGCATGAAGATTGTTGTTAATTTGGCGGAAATAGAAGAAAATTCTCAGAATTGCAGCATAGAAGTTGGTCAAAGTTGCTGTTTGCATAACGTATGGAATCGAAACGATGATGAAATTGATGATCAGGCCAATATCAAAGATAGAAATAACATCAAAAACATTTAAGAGCGCCATTGAAATGGCGCACAATTCGCAGATTCCAACACGGAAAAATATCAACCACAGAATACCCCTCAAGTCGCGCTCATAGTTCAAGAGAAGCTCCTGCGCTTGATAGTAGAACATCGTGGATTTATTGAGCATCTCCTTGCGTTTCTTCAAGTCCACTAGTTGTAGAACAAACATATAGAAACACATAATATTGTGCATCGTCATCACCACAAACACCACAGCAAAGATCACGTGATTTGACGTTTCGTACTGATTTGAAACGCTGAAGATTCTGTACACACTTATCGGCAGGGCGATCAAGAGAGCCACATTGTACAGAATACAGTACAGAACTTTGATGGTCGACAACTCATAGCGATTCAATTTCTTCCTGAACGTAAGCACCTTCATGCCCACCAAATTCTCAACGATTGAATTAATTGCGCGAACTGCTCGGAATCCAAAGAGAATCCATCGCGGCATCGGAAGGAGCTCAAAGTGACTCTCCATTGCGAGTAAACCAGAAGTACTGCCACACTTATTCCTACCCTTTGTTAATTGAGAATCAGAGATGGATTTGACGATAAAGGCAGATAAGCCGGCAAATCAATACATTTATAATAAGTTGGGTAATCCACGGCAATGGAGACCTTTGGAAAAAAAAACATTTATTTGACAGTTCTATGAAAATTCTATGAAATAGCATACATAATGACAAAAATACAGTTTACATTTTCTTATATTGTTAAGATTGTGTTCAAAAATTGATCGATTTTTCAATTTCTCAAGATTATTAACATGTTTCAGCAATCTCTGTCGGTTCAATTGATTGATGAACACAACAAACCAGCGCCAAATATTTGTCACAATCCAAAGATAGTGCAAATTCGCGCACATCTCGGAATAACACACGCTATTGTTATTATTTACCGTGTCTGTGACGGAGTCTTTAGAGCAAATCGCTTCTCATAAATGTGCTATTTTCTCCTCTGGCTCGTGCGCGAGTCCGTCGTGAGTGTCTTATCTAATCGCGCGGCTTAGACGCGAATTGGCGCCAATTGAGCCGCCCCCCGTGGGACCCATTGTGACTCCGTGGCGCAACGGTAGCGCGTCTGACTCCAGATCAGAAGGTTGCGTGTTCAAATCACGTCGGGGTCAATTTTTTTTTACCCGCCGCCGTTTCATTAGGAGATTTTTAATTGGGGGCCTCTTGGGAGTCGTTAACGAAGGCAGAGCTCAAGTTTCCGTGGTGTAGTTGGTCATCACATCCGCCTAACACGCGGAAGGCCTCCGGTTCGAGTCCGGACGGAAACACTCCTTCTTTTTTGGTCTTCTCCCATCTGAAATTGCTCGCGTAATTTTGACGCGAGCCTGTGCAAAAATCCACGAAGTGCGAGAGGAAATGTTGTGAGCGTGAAATATTGCTGAGGAAAGTTCCCTGGGAACTCAAGAGCCCTGCGTGTGTCATTATTGTGCGGTTCAAGGATTCCCTGTGGCAGGGGGTGTGCATACATTTGCCGTAATGACATTCAAATCCAACCCCGAACAATCTCAAAATTAAACATGCGAACAAGAAACCTCTTTCGCGCCGGAGGAGGAGGAAAAAATTGTCCAAAAATATATATTCTCTCCCCGGTTGCACAGAACAATCGTGAGTGTATGACTTTTGTGTCTGGCAGAAGAAAATCCCCTCGAGTGTGTCTAGCAAATATTGGTGGAATCATCTTGGTCCCATTCTTTGCCTCTTGAGTGAGTGAGAAGTCGCTGGAGTGGGTCGTACAGTCAGGTTCCTCGTCTTTATTTCACGTTTTTTTTTTCCTCATGGCTGGATAAGACTTCGGCCGAAGAGGGCAGACTTAGAATATCTCTGGCAGAAGAGCAAATACGCGAGGCACTCGGAAACGAGACATGAGAAACACCACAAGTTGAGAGATATTCTCATAAATTCTTTCAATTCATCCAATCCTCCACAATGCTCACAGAATGTTCCCTTGATGGGAATATTAGAGAGAGAATTTATCACCACGCATTTCCACCCTTCGTGACTTTTAGTACACTTGGAAGAAATGGTTGAGATCTGGGGTAAGGGATTTTTGTGCCTCGAAAACAACCCCTTGTCTCAGGCACAACAGCCACTGTTGAAGTGCATGGAGTAGGTGGTTGGAATGGATTAAGTGTGCTAAAACCCCAAGAAATCAAGGCTGAGTGCGAGTTGGAAGAACACTGAATATCTCTAATGATTCCGTAAATCCATTATGATTACTTCCACCTCATTGCAATTCCACTTACAGGTTATTTCTCTCTATGAATGCTTGCAGACGAGAAAGAGTAAATTATATATATATATATATATATATATAATATTCAAGAGATAGCAATGGAAAGTATAATATGAAAAGTTGAAAATTTTAATCAAATTCAAATATTGGTCTTTTATAACTTTAAAGCAATAGTCAATAATATAATTTGGGGAATTTGGAAGTAAATTTTTAATTTTTACAAGAACAAAGGATTGGCAATAAATTTTCTGCACTTGTATGTGAGTGTTTGAGTTATTTAAGATATTGGAATGTATTTATAAATGGGTGGAGCATTGGCATAGGTGGAGCATCTTAGAATCCATCCTTAAAGTGAAGATGCAGTTTATTCAATAATTTAATTAATAATGATTTCCTTATGACAATTGTAGAAGATCAGAATATTTAAAATCACATCACACTGAAACGATACAAGATTAAATTTCAATTCGTTCGGCGTGTGCATAGAAATACAAAAGTTGAATTAAAAGTACACATATGAAGATCCATTGTAGTGAGAAAAAAATCAATTTGAATGAAAATTGAATTAAATTGAAATAAAGCATTATGAATCATCTTGTGCAAAAAATGTGAATTGTATGGAATAGCGGGAAGGGATATGAGCATAGTTGCAGGATTGAAAAGGTGTTCTTTTCCTGGATTGCGCTCGCCATGTTTTTTTTTTTATTGTTGCTGTTCATATTGTTTAAAAGGGTTTCGCGTGCAGGAGTTGCAGATGGCACAAACCGGACAAACAGGAATATCTATGGCACTGCTTCCTAGGGTTGGTGGCTGACCCTTGCGCGCCTCCTCGGGAGAAGTGTGAGCATTCTGTGCAGGGTTGATTAAGCACTGGGAGGGGTCAGTTTCCTGCGAGAGGGTTCATTGTCCTTGACTCAGTGATGGGTGAAAATCTAATTTCTCGCTGACAAAACAACACTGAGGCGAAATTGAGCGGCGCGCGCGCGGCTTTTGGGTGATGCGAAGCCCCTCGGAAATACTTAGTGATCAGTCGAGTAACACACGTTCACAAGGTCATCTTCAGTGGCGCCATGGAATATTTGCTTCTGCAGAAACGCCAGTCCACAAATTCAAATACACGAATTTCTGGCCAGCGACCATGTATGAATTTTTCGCGAATCTCGCATTCGCCTTTTTAGGCCAGACTCTCGGGACCGGACGCTTATTAATATTCCTACTTATCGGAATTTGATGGTCTGGGATTCCGGAACTTTTTACCCCAAACTCATGAGAATTCCTTATGAGATTTTCTTGTATGTCTGGCTCGTCCAAGAAATTCCACGTTCTGAAATCTCTTTCGTCATGGAGGATTTTCAGACATTGTTCTTGAATGAGATGTTCAAAGCCACATTCAAAAAGTGCGATCATTTTTTGGGTGTAAAATTCATTGTTTGTCTTCCTCGAAAGGTGTTTGCGATATCGATTTTGCAAGCATGTGTGCAAGTATGATTGAAAACA